TAGTAGTAGTAGAGTATAGTAGTAGTAGTAGTAGTAGTAGTAGTAGTAGTAGTAGTCGTCGTGGTAGTAGTAGTAGTAGTAGTGGTAGTGGTGGTGGTGGTGGTAGTAGTGGTAGTGGTAGTGGTAGTGGTAGTGGTAGTGGTAGTGGTAGTGGTAGTGGTAGTGGTAGTGGTAGTGGTAGTGGTGGTAGTAGTAATAGTAGAAGTAGTAGAAGAGTCGTAGTAGAGTAGCAGTAGGGTAGGAGTAGTAGTAGTAGTAGTAGTAGTAGTAGTAGTAGTAGTAGTAGTAGTAGTAGGAGCAGCAGTAGTAGTAGTAGTAGTAGCAAATTCGAGCACGATGATTCGATCGAAGTCGCAAGTTGCTCCAGAGATCTGAAGATTCCCAGCCTCGTATCGCCGAGCGCAGCGGCGCTCGAGCGCTTACGCGAGCGCGCATGCGCTTACGACGCATTGAGCTGCATTGAGCTGCCATTTTTCTTTCCGGAAGGAGTTCGTTCCATGCAAACCGGTATCTGGCATGTGTGTTGAATAGACACGAACAGCTTGGTCCAGCTTGCATTCACTAGCTCAGTCTTCTATCTACTTGGGATGACTTGGGGGTTACGATAGGAGGGCAGACGGACTTTCTCGTAGCGTTCGATCAAGAACAGCTTTCAAACGTGTCATTCACTCCAAAACAGGAGCTTCGTTTTGTGCTCCATCAACACGCTTTTAGCGTTTTTTTTTGCGTTTCGCGACGATTGCACGGAGGTGCTCTTGGTGTGTTCCGCTCTTGGTTCGGGGCCTCAGCGAAGCGCTTAAGCATTGAGATAGGAGGTCTTGTCAATGGACTCAGGCATCGTAGGTATACTCACCTGCGATCAAAATCAAACAAGAGCAAACAGGACAGACTGTTTCTGCAGCATTTCGATGCGGGATGCAGTTTCCCACACACAAATCACAGTGGTACAAAAAAGGAAGGGTCTCTAGACTCTAGATTCTAGATTCTCTACACTCTACACTTTAGGTGGTTTAGTGCTTAACTATCCCAAGGTTTGCAATGCTCCAACGAAGGCAACAGCGCTGCTGCAGCCAAAATACGTCCTGAATCAATCACCGGGAATCAGAAAGGGTTCTCGCAGGCATTTTCTGTTGCGAAGCAATGGTTTTGAGAGGCTACGAAAACATTAAAATTCGGGCTATAAAATCTAGTGAAGCGCGGTCTTCAAAGCAATCCATCCATGAATGGGCAGTCATCATGTATGATTTGCAGTCTTCTGGGACAATCCCAAGATCGCCTGGGACTGGAAGAGTCTAGAAATTCTACGGGAAAGTTCTCTCACTGAGCTACTGGTCGTCATCGATGAGCTGTGCGCCACTGCAAAAGCACAACTGAAGCTGATGGCGCCATTCCCCCAGCGCCAACACGAAGCGCTCCGTTCCAGTTCCCCGAACGTTCCAGTTCTCCACACCTCAAAGCGCTCCTGCACCTTTGCAAGCACCTGACAGGGAGGATGCGACGAATGAATGAGCTTATTGGATTCGTGCAGACTCTTCACCCCCTCTTCCTGTAGCCTTCGGACCATGGAAATCCAGGTCTTCTGGGGAGGAAATTGGTCTTTGATCTGTCAATTCTTCAGCCAATCGTGATGATACACTTTGACATATATGTTGATATATTTTGCCGCTTCATCGCTTCCGCTGTTCCCTTTTTCGACTCCCTCATTTCTCGGAACCGGGAATGAGACTCCTCTTGTCCACTGAATAAGAACCTCTGGGAGGGTCACTTGGGAAGGGCACTCCAGAGAAGGTCCTGACAAATCACAGTGAAGGTCAAAGCACTGACGGCAAAATTTAGGGAAGCTCCTATCAACACATTGAGCACGGTTCATGAGTTTCTGACGGATGGAACATTGGATTTGAAGTGAGGATTCCTGTCCACAAGTGTCAAAGCCCATCAAAACCCAAGAGAACGTATGATGAAACCACTATATTATGGTGTTGAGGTTGATTCATCTTGCTTATAAAATCTGATAGAGTTCAAGCATAAACACGTCGCAAAACAACCCACATGACAGGGACTTGCCAAACAGAGTAACTATATCAGAACATCCACTGACGGCAAAGTTCTACAGGCACACTGTGTGCACCTGTTTTTTGTGCTTCACAAAGGCTCAAGACATCTGAAAACATCTTACTAGTAGCAAACATTGCTCCTATAGTAGTACGGCCAGGAGCCCCTAGTAATCCCCTCTCCCTAATAATAAACGACCCCCCCCCCCCTATTAATAAAAACCCTGGGGTGTTTTTACTAATAGGGGGTGTTTATTATTGAGGGGCACCTGTTGTACCCCCAAATGGGCAATGTTCTGTTCGCCCTAATAATTAATTAAAAAGTAGGGTCTCGAAAGAAAATCCCTGGGTTCCCAATCTAATTAATTATATAAAATCCTTGTTAAAATGCGAACGGATGGAAAGGTGTGCCCTGGCCCCGTTCTAGCCCTTAGTTCAACATGAAGCTCGCGCGCTAAAGCTCCTTTTTACCTGGTTGGGCACTTGAGCCAAAAGTATATGGCAAGTACCTATATAGCAACTATACTGGGACCTCATCCCTATTGACACCCCCCACATCCGTGCTTCGACGGGGAAGGGAGATGAGTGGATGTAAAAGCCGGAGAACGAATCACGTTCTCAAAAGTGTATTGGAGGTCAACCAGTATGTTCTATTGAACTGAATTGGCAAAAGATCTTGCATTTGCCTGAAAGTCGGATCAAACAGGTAACGGAGCTACAAGCGGAAAACGTGCACCTACCTATGGTATCATGCAATTACCAGCGGTGTGACACACAATCCTATCTCACTCCCATGATGCCAAAACGGTCATCATGAATTACCCAAGATCCCTCAGTACATGAAGTACCGGAAGTGGCATGTCGGAATGACCCCAATGCTCAACCATTCGTGAGTTGTCGCATGTAGTCAGCACCGACAAAGCCAATGTAGTCCTTGATAAGCTCAACGTTCCTCGGATTTCCCGCTCGGATCTGGTTCTCGAAGAGCTTCAATTTCTGTGCTTGGGTATCGGATACCTCTATGCCGTAGTAGCGGCATGCAACGAGGATCTCCTTCGTGACATTCTTCCGCTCCGACTTGATGGCGGGGCTAATGTCGATGAATTTGTATGGAGCGGCACTTTCGTCATCTGGTTTCTGATAGTAGCTATATCGGCTCGCTCCGAAGGTCTTCCTGATCAAGCGTCTGATGAAATTTGAGATGAATGCCAGCTTCTCGACGATCTCCTCCTGGGTCTCAGACCTCCGAGCCTTTGGATCACTCATGTTACGCCGAGTGCTGCCGACCTCCTTGAGGTACTTGTGGCTAAGCCCGCAGCGGATCGCAGTGATCATCATCGGGTGAACAACGTGGGCGTGGAACTCATAGATCTGCCACGCTTCTGTTGCAAACGTGTCGTTGGTCCATTTGGTCATGCCTACGACCTCGGCTCTCTGGAGACGTCTTGGAAACCCAGTATCCGGATCATTCGGTACTATTGGCCATCTATTGTACGGAGTGTCATGCCGCTGTCCATCGTCGAACCTTCGCAGTACGTCTTCACGACTCTCAAAGCAGTTGATGTCGAACGTCGCGTTGGCCAAGCTCTTGATCAACTTCATCAACCTCAAATCAAACTGCTGTGTGACTGCAAAGTTGTGGTCGATGGGGATAGCAGCTTCTTGTGGCAATTCGTCAATCGCGAAGGGGAAAGGCTGCGGAAGTTCATTCCCGTATCCATCTTGAGGGACCTCCCGATATTCGGGTTCGCCTTCAGCTTCATCCGGTCGTTCCTTCAAAATGATAGGAACTTCCTCCTCTTCCTCTCCTTCGGATTCCTCGACGTCAATGACCTCTTCGGCTGTCTTGCGTGCCTTCTTGATGACTTCATCGATGTTTGCACCTGCAGCAGAAGTTGCTTCACCAGAAGAACTGGCTGGGACATCCTTCGGAGGTGATCGTTGATTGCGGTCTCTTGTCTCCTTGGGTACCACATGCGTGAGTTTCCCATTCGCGATCAAAACCGCTACGCAGTGCGGACATACTGTCAACCGCACATCGACTTCGCCAAGACAGTTAGGACACGGCCTTGAGTCATAGTCTTTCATTGCCCGGCGGTACACGATCTCCTCAAAGATTTCCTGCCACTCGGTGCTATCATATTCTGGGTGTACGCCACTCTCCTCGATCATACCCAATAGTTTTGAGATTTTGGCGTCGTCCTCGGAGTAGGTATCGTCCTGAACTTCAACCGCTAAACTCTCAAGCTTCTGAAAGCGTGGGATCATGATCGGGTTTCCGTATTTGGACTCCAGAACAAGGTAGCTTCCAGGGTCGGGTTCTCTATTGAGTAACCTGATCCATTCGATCTCCTCAGGCTTTCCGGGTTCCGCATTGTCGCATTGCAACCATGCCCCTTTAACCTCATCGAAGGGAACGACGTTCTCAACCAATAGAGAGCCAGTCACTGAGATGAGAAGTCCGTACTCCTGCAGCTTCCACACCGGAATGTAGAGAACCACTGGGCGATCACTCAATGCGACCTTACGACCCAGCCAAGGTTTTCCCTTGTAGCCCTGCTCCCAGGCCCATGGCGGAAAACATGTGAAGTGGATAGAATCCCTTCCCGATGAACCGAGACCTCCTGGCACTAGCCCCCGTCGCATGATTGAAGCCAGCGCTCCAAGATTGGTAGCGTGAAATGCAGTCACCATGGATAGGGCCATGTCGTTGGTCATTCTCGATCCAATGTGGTCGATGTTGATGGTGACGTCATAACCTCCGCCGTCCGATGAGTGTGCTGAGGTTGCTCTTACGGCCACGGGAAAGCACCATCCATTGCTGTGGTGGAGTCCTCCTTTGGAGATTCCCATGCCCTTGAGTTCGTCAATCCATTCCTTCTCCATCGGGTCATCAGGGTCATTGAGTTCATCAGGACGGACGCGGACCGCCAACATTTGGAATCTGATCCTCTTGGTTATGCGGAAACACTCATAGTTCTGGTCGAAGAACTTCTCCAAACGCGCCTTCTTGGTCACGGTATCGACGTTGCCGTAGTGATAACCGTCTTCCCAAACTGCATTATCACCCAACAGATCTTCCCACGACACCCATGCGCCTTCATCGCATTTGATTGGTGTGAGTCTCCCACCTGTCCTGAACTGGCGTCCAATTCGATGTCTCAACTTCGCTCCCAATCGACGACTCAGGGCTTGGCTCGCTTGGCTGTATTCAGGTACTCGACAGTATGGAGTTGGATACTTGTGGTTGCCATAGTCGGAGTTCGTTGCAGCGAAAGTGACTCCGTTGATCGGTACTAGTTCGACTTTCCCGATCATCGTCATGGGGTCGATCGGCTTGTATCCCTTCTCCCTCCGTGTCGGTAGGGGATAGAAGTGATGGCATGCCTTTAGTTTGAGGGAGCTGGAGTGCACGAATGCCTTCTCTACGAACTCGTACACCACCCTCATATCCCTAGGGCCTACTTCCGCAAGCTTCCGCCCATTGTAGGAATGTGTCCCTCCTTCGACTCCATCGGCACTCTCGATCAAGGTGAATCCGTCATGGTCAAACATTGTCACGACTCTTGCTTTCAACATCTCTTTTCGCCTGAACTCGCTGTCGACCTTCCTATCTGGAGTAGGCGATGCTCTCTGCTTCTTCTTCTTAGGCTCCTCGGTTGGATGTCCAGATGGTACATCGTCGGGTGCAACCTCTCCCTTTACTCTCTTCTTCCAATCACTCAACACTGAGGTGACTGTAGGTGAGGATGAAGGGGTCTTCTCACAATTGAGAGTTGTGTGTCCCGACTTCATGCAGTGGATGCAGAATTCTGCTTGCCCGATCTTCTCCTCAAATTCGTCGATGGCTTGCAGTATTGATGTCTTCGGGTCGGACATGTCAACGTCTGGCTCCTCCTTCTCCTGTTCGAATTCAGTCTCCATATCGACACCTTCGGCCTCGGGCTGGTCAGTAGCCTCTGCTCCTTGTTCAGGTTCTTTCCCGATTTCAAAGAAGTGGTCGATGTCGAATTCAGGAGGCGGCATGGTCCTCATGCGAACGAGAATCAGTGCCACGTTTGCCGCCTCTTCCGAGTGCGGATCCAAGGTCCTGATTGTCGATCGCTTTCGGTTCTCATACGTTGTCCTGTCGTACAGCGATGCAGTGACGCGCTTGATGGATTCTTCTAATCCCGTCCTCAAAGCTTCAATGTCACCCCATCCCTTGAACAGGTGCTTGAAGAGTTGAGCAACTTCGAGCATGCCCAGCAGTGCTTCCACCATGTCACCTACCCGTTCCTCTGTGGGATCGTCACCGAATATAGTGCGGAATACATCGGGCTCCAATATGGTCTTGAGGTACTTGGTGTAGCACACATTGCCAAGGTCATAAGATCCCTGGTAGTACATGGCTCTGCCGACTATCTGCTTTTCCACATGGATGCTGGGT